CCTTTTTCAATGACAATAATTTTCGACAGGTTATTGAAATTGAAAAATATTATATAACAATTGTTTTATTTTGAAAACAAATAAGCTACTTTTACAATTTCTGAAGTAGACAAAATGATGCTAGTAATTACGAGATAATAAAAAAAAATGGTTTATTTTACGCTATATCAAATATTTATCATAAAACTCTGAAAAGATAAATATTTTTCAGTCGAATGTTAATGTTTAACTCGATGTAACCGACTGATTTCTATTCTCTTCTTGTCCATATAATGAAAGGAAAACGATGTGGAGAGAACAAAATAGAGGATGAAATGAGAGTATGTATATGAGTGACATCTCACTGTACAACACATATATTAATCATATTTCAATTACTTTTACTTTATGAATAGTTTACCCAATTTTTTTGCTTCCTCTTACCTTCGTAGTAAAAACAAAAACAAAATATTTAATGTAAAATGCGAGGAAAAACAAAAAAATAAGGCGAAGCGTTTATTCGACATGTGCAAAAAAATATGAATGGAGAAAGTAAATAGAAAAAAAAGAAACGAGCTACGGAGCATATTTTTTTTTCTTTTCATCGTGTTGAATAAAACTTAAATAGTACATTTTATTAAACAAAAAGTACTGTAAACAAAATGCCGTCAAAAAAGTTCTTGATCAATCGAAATCAAAATCAAAAGTTTCGTATTAATGGTCTGCGACCATCGAGACGTCTACCACATAAAGCACACTTACGTCAATCGTTTAGTGATCATGTGTCTTATAGCCCTGATCAATTACCACCTAAAGCAGATCTACGAAATAATATGGCACCCATCGAAAATCAATCTCAAATTGGTAGTTGGTAAGAATGTTTGTCCCCATTCATAAAATTTACTTTTTAATTTTCTTCTCTTTCAGTTCAGCAAATTGTTTAGCTGGTAAAACAAATACATTATATTTTGATTAATAAAAATATTTTATTATTAGGTGCTTATGAGTATTTATCAAAAAAAGAAAAGAATCATGATAATATCGTAAGTCGTTTGTTTATCTATTATAATGGTCGTGTTAAAGAAGACAGTAAGTCTGCTGTTACTGATTCGGGATGCACAATGACAAGTGCTATTGAAGCATTGGAAGAATCTGGTGTTTGTCTTGAATCAATTTGGCCATATGATATATCACAAGTGAATACACGTCCATCGGATGAAGCTTATCAAGCAGCAACAGGTCATAAAATTACTCAAGCAATGCAAGTTAATATTGATTTAAATGAAATGAAATCATGTTTAGCACAAGGTTTTCCATTTGCATTCGGATTAAAACTTTTTACATCATTTGATCAGGCAGCTAAAACGGGTATTGTACCAATGCCAAATGATTCTGATCAAAATCGAAAATCAGATGGAAGGTTAGTTTTTCAACTATTGAAATACCTGTTTGATATTTTTTCTCCTAGTCATGCTCTATTAGCAGTCGGTTATAGTGATCAATCACAATCATTTATTGTTCGAAATTCATGGGGAGAAGATTGGGTAAAGAGGTTTTTTTATAATTATATTTCAATTGTTAATATTTATTTTTCTAGGGAGATAAAGGTTATTGTTATATTCCTTATGATTATCTAGCAAATTCAGATTTTTGTTTTGACGTTTGGACCATTCGAAAAGTTGAAACTGAGAATTTAGGTCAAGATCATTGGGATCAAGATGATTCAACTGATTATCGACAGATGGATGATGGAAGTAATAATGATGATGATCGTACAATTGAAGACGGTGACGATGATGATAATCAAGGTAATAATGAGAATTTTAATTTTAAACATAGTTTTTTTCTTGCGAAAGTTAATTATACCAGAGACACATCTTTATGAATCACGCATAAAAGCAAATATTTTTTCATTAGTAAATTACTTATTGTAACAATAGCGGCTATTGTTTGTTTATTCGATTATATATTTGGAGTAGAATCAATTAGAAATATTAAATTTCTTCAATAAAAGTACTTTACTGTTTATAATTTTTTTTAAGGAGATAATTCCAATGATGACAATTGAACGGATCGTGACTGAAGTGACAACAAAATAAATAATTATTATTCATTTTATAGAAATAGAAAACAAATCATCATTTATAACCCATTTAATTAACTTTTAATAATTGCTTATATGTATCATAATCATATAGAAATAAAAGCATTTTCTCATATTTTATCCAATTATGTCATATTCCGCTTTATTCATTCTAATAAACGTATGATTTTAGTCCGTATTTTAGGATGTATATTATGATATACGTAAGATGCACATATCCTCTGTTAATTTTAATCGATGTACTAAAATCATTCATCGTGCTCATGTCAGTGAAATAGTAGGATATGCGAAAGTGGCATGTTACAGGTTATTCAATAGTAAACTGATTCTTACTATTTAATTAGTTTATTATAAAGGATGTAGGTGTCGAGGCTGTATCCATCTCACACCTACACCCACCTTCAAGATGGTTTTCTCTCGTAGACTTGTTCGATATCTCGTATATTTTATTTAAAATAAATCAGTAATCAAGTGTAAAGAGTTCTTATTATATCTTTGTGAAATCTCGATCATAGACAGTCTTCTTTTGAACTGCTGGAAACGAATGATTATCAGCAGCTTTGCTTTTCTGAAGCATCAATGTTCGATATTGCTCATCTTTTTGTCTCATTTGTTTACGATGTCGGAAAGGAACAAGAAAGAGCCATAGAATCATTGCAATGTGAAGTACAATAAAAAGACCAAAAAAAACAGCAAATGCTCCACGATCTAAATGTTCAATCCATGAATTCTTGGGCACACGAAAATCTGGTGTTCGTTCATATATAATTACAGCAATAATACTGTGCCAAATAGCATGCATAACAAGATTAAATATACACAATATTCCGTATTTGTCCAATGATGTTAAATAAGAGATTGTAGGCTAAACAAAAACAAAATCTAAGTCATTAGCAAAACTATATTCCACTTCTCTGGATTATAAAACTTACAAGTGATCTATTTACTGTCCAACGAAATGAAATTGACGTCAAAAGAAGTGTAGCTGCAACTTGAAGTCGATTTACTATAGATCTGTTAATAAAAATACAATTTATGATATATAATTCTTATAAATAACTCACTGTAATGGTAATCCAAAAGCACAAAATGATACAAGAGTGATCAAAAAAATAAGACAAAATCCATTCCAAAAGAAATATTGTGATTGACGAGCTTAAAAAGAAAATCTTATTATTTGTTTTTTTATATTTCTTATTGAATACAAACCAACATGACAGGTAACTGTTACAACTGAACGTTTACGATCTTCTTTATTTTTATTATTAATTTGTTGATAATCTTCATCATCCTCTTCATCATCATCGTGATCAATTCGAAAAATAAATTCATTAATATATCGTTGTTCTGTATCAATATGTTCATATAATGACCATTCTTGTTGATCAACAAATGCTTCTCGATTAACTCCACTAGGATGATGAGGATCAGGAATTAAAGTAACTTTATTATGAAATAACATTGAAGTAACTGATATTGATAAATCTTGAACATCACTTGGAAAATGTTGTAATTCAAGTTTTTCCCAAAATAATCCTTTTATAATACGATGTTCACAAATATAGATTTGATGATCTTTTGAATTTATTTTTGCACTATATTTTATTTGTTCTTTTAAATCACCTAATGCATTTTCAATATATAATTGAGGATGCCAATAAGATCCATCATATTTATCCAATGCAATAGATCTTCCATTAATTAAACGTTCTTGATCAACAGTTGATATATTAGAAAAAAGTTTATCATATGTAACTAACCAACGAGATTCAATCGATGCATGTGCTTGATATTTTTCATTTAATGTATCAATTTCACCTAGATTACTATTAAATAAATTATGTTGAATATATTTCTTAAATACAATACCTATTCGAAGAAACACAAGGCGAA